GATGCTGCTGTATTAATCTTAATATGTTTATAGTCAAGTGGCTATGTTCACAAGAATAGAAGCTGGAAAGATTTTGGTTTGTATTTAAATGAAAGATTTATGGAACATGATGTGGATTCTGCAGCAGATTTTGTGGTTAAAGAATCATACAAAAAGCAAATCTTGGGCCTCAATACCCCTTCAGGATTACAGAGGGTGCAGAGAGTGTAGCCATTTTTTCTCTCAGGTGAGTCATGCTACAGAAATGGCCCATAACTTTTTACCTCTACCTTATGTTATGTACTACAGTGAACCTCAGAGCCGCTGTTAAGTCCAGTCTGAAAAGATCCTAGGAGAGTTGCCTGATTTCTGATTAGTGTTGGAGAATGTCATGCTTACATTCGGATCTCTCTTCTGGTTGGGTGTTTGCTTGTGGGTGCAATATATGATATTGATCTTTAACACCTTGAATGTTTGGGAATTCAACTCTTGTGAGCAGCACTCTCCCTTTCCCTAGTCACCCTGGCCCTCATGAAAAGCAAGAGAGCCTGGGAAACGCTTATTGGTGCAAACTTATTTTGAAGATCTCGTGCCTGCCTTTCTTAAGTGAGGAGCCCCAGTTCTGTAACTTTTTTGTGTTCGCTACACATCAAGGCTCAATATAAGACTTTTTTAATCTTAATTTTTAATTTTTTTAAAATATTTGATTTACATTACCAGCGTATGCTTTGATCTCTACTGCTAGAGGACACTAATTAATGTTTATACAGAAATTAGTTTAGAAATATGTTTTGTAAACCAAAAAAAGAAAGGGGTGTGGACCTATGGTGGGGCAGAAGGTGGTAAAATGCTTTCCTTTAGGTGTGCAGCTCTGTCTGGGCCATCAAATGTGATTGCTAACAAAGTCAAATTTTGGTGAGTAGTGAATGCTGCTTTACTCTACAATATATTGCATCTTCTCTGTCTTTATAAAAACAGTATATCAATGCAATTTACCATCTACTGGAGTTCTTTGAAGGTGGTAAAACTGTGTGGGCAAGAGGGATCCAGTTGACGTAATATATTTGGACTTTCAAAAAGCTTTTGACAAAGTCTCTCACCAAAGGCTTTTAAAAATCTATGTTATCATGGGATTGGAGGGAAGGTTCTTTCACGGATTATGAACTGTTTAAAAGAATAGGGTTAAATCCAACTTGGGTTGGAGTTAGGGAACAAGGGGGTCTCACAAGGATCTGTGCTGGGCCCAATTTTATTCAGCATTTTGAATGGTGCACAATGAAATTTGAAGGTGACAGATTATTCTGAGTAGTCAAATTCCAAGCTGACAGGATTTATTTTACCAAAATGAGTACCTGCCAACTAGCCCCACACTGTAGCACTCTCATGCCCCAGCCATACCCTCTGCAGTATGTTGAGCTGGGGTGGAGCAGCCCCAGGCTGGCAGACTAACACCCCAGACTCCTGCCAGCCAGGGCTGCTCTGGCCCAACACAATATGCTGTGGGCTGAGGCGCATGTGTAAACTTTGTGCCCAGGAACAATAAACTCTGGTGCAAACAGCACTGGAGTTTATGTGCTAATTGCATATGTAGATGTACCCACTGTGTAGTTAACTTGTGGAATTAATTGCTGAAGGAGGTGGTAGAGGCAGATAGCGTAGCCAGGTTAAAAAAGGGACTAGACCAGCTGTTCCCAAACTGTGGGTTGCAACCCCAAATGGAATCGCAACATCAGCAGATGGGGTCGTGGGGGTGGAGGCTGTGGTTTGGGAGTGAAGGGCCATGTTGAGGAAATAGTGTTATGCTGAGGAAAAAATTGGAAGGCACTGGACTAGACAAAATTCGTGGCTGATGAATCTAGTAACAGAACAGTTGGAGATATCAGGTTTGGTGCTATCTTTGTATAGCATCCACTTCTGCCACTGTCAGAGACAGGATACTGGGCTACAAAGATCATTGATTTGACCCAGTATGGCATTTCTTATGTTCCAAGTCTTTAAGGTATTGGGAATGGTTTGCTCTTGGAGGAGAATTTTTAGACAATATTATAGCAAAAGATTTTAGCCTTGATAAAACTTGTATAAGTAGTCAAGCCAGTTTGTTGAATTTATAGGCAGGCAGGGGTTTGGAGATGAAGGACCTGTAGTTGGAGGGCAGGAAATAACCCCCACCTTTCCTCTTGTGTTAGTTTTTTAAGGCTGGGAGTGGGGTGAAATTGGTGTTTGGAAAATGGAATCTTCTGTTTTGGTGTTGATATCAGTATTCTTATCCACATCCTTCTTTGTTCTACATCTCATAGCAAAAAAACTTGACTTAACCATTTTTGGACTGTGGGTAGTGTCAGGCGATTGATATTTTTAGGACTATTTCAATATACTTGTCTGTTATTATAGAATATATAGATTTTTATCCCCTGAGTCATACAAGACTCTTTCAATTCACTGGGACTGTTTTTATAAGTGTGGGCTTCTTGAATTAATAAAACTTCCAGGGCCAGGCCCTGGAGCCTAGCACAGAAGCCTTAGTGCATGATTCAGCTTCTAGTGTGGTCAGTAACAAACTCCCAATGATTTTGGTGGGAATTGTGCTTTGCTTGAAAGGCATTTGTAAACTACTATAACTAGAGTTGTATTGAAGTTCTTTTTTTCTTAGTGTAAGTGTTTGGTCCCAGGCAGATGTTAAAACTAAGGTGTGATGGGCCTGTGTGGCAGGAAGCAGGATGTTCTGGGTGGAGTGTAAAATTCCTTTGATCCCCGTCATGCCATTGCTGAGCTGCTCACAGCCTTTTCCTGCAAATTGGGCAGGGGGTGGCTCTCTTCCCCCACCCAGGGCTGTCCCCAGGCTTTAGTAGTATCCAGACCCAGGGCTGTTGGGGCCGGGTCTGACAAAGCATGGTCCAGCTGAGTTCTGACAGTCTCAGGTCAATTCAGGACCAGTGCTGTTGGGACCAGGTATGACAATCATTGGATTATCTGCTTGGCCCTGGGATAGCTCAGCTGCATGTGTGGCTTTTAGAAGTGTGGGGGTGCAGCAGGGCTTAGGTATCAGGGAGCCTCTCTTCCATCGTGGGATCATTCCTGTGAGTCTAAAGACTGTGGGATAGTATAGCTCCCCACAACCCAGCCTTTTAAAGTGATTTGGAAAGGCCACCAGACTGGGGTTGCAAGTGACTGGAGCCGCTCTGCTCCCCACACCAGGAAACCTTGCAACCTGCTGTCCTAGCAGCTGATTTTTGACATTGGGATCAGTGCTGTTCTGGTCCCAATGCTAACTCCTGCCCCTTGTCACATTCACATGGGGGACACCTTGTAAATGAACCACAAAGATGTTCCACATATTTTATGAAATAACTTTGTGGCTGGCTTGCCAATTCATGATGCCATTTGTTGACTGTAGCACTGTTTATTGTGTGATCAAGGCATTAATTGTACCATGACTGTAATGTGTGCCAGGGGCTTCCTATTTGAAGGTTTATTTTTACCTTGTTTGAGAAATTGTGATGCTGCATATAGAGTATGTGTCTCTCTCTCTCTCTCTGCCTTTATTTAAATTACAAAAAACAGACTCTAGCAATATAGTTGTACTGGAGGGATTAAGTTCTTCCTGTGTGTTATGAAAAATATGGCTGTGCAAATATTCTCAACCATCTTTTGGTACATTTAGGCTGCTTGCAGACTTTAAAAAAATAACAAAAAAAAAGGCACTTGAAACTCAGCCCATTCCTGTGCCAAGCCCTGCACATGCCCAGAAGAGGCAGTGCCTTAGTTGCACCTGGTTTGCCCAACATCTGTAAAGATCGGGCAAGTTAGTAGGGTCTTTTTGATGCTTTCATCTAATAGTTGATTGAAGTGCCCAATCTATACAGACGCTGCAGTGTCACATTGAAGTAATCTTCTTCCAATAAAGTGCCTTGTTTTTTGTTGTTTTTTTTAAACATCTGCAAGCAGCCTTAAAGTCTAAAGTTAATTTTTTAAATAATCACTGTAAACCAATTTCACTAGACAGGATTGTTCCTTTAAAATATGTTTTTGCTAAGATTACTAGTAGCATGATTATTGAGATCTTATTTTTATTTATAAATTCTAAAATCATGGGCTTAGTTTTATATCTCACCAGACAGAAACTTCAGCCGTCACATTTGGCAATAAAATGATGCCTGAAGGATTATTTTTATTCTTTAACATCCACTCTGCCATAGGCTTTTGCAATCCCTTTTCCAGCTAGCTAGAGAGGGGAAACATTCAGGATGTTTTAAAACAACATCCGAACGTACCAATCTAATATCTGTGTCAGTTCTGACCAGTATCAGGCTATCAAACTACAATTGCTTTCTTGCTCTATACTGAGGAGGTTGCAAACTGATATATTTATCTAGTTACAGGGTTTCTCAATGAGTTAATTTCGGTTGCTAATATTTTATAATGTGCTATGTATATTCATTATATTTTAAGAAAGTTTAGGTTCTATTTTTTTTGGTTCCTTTCTCTTCTGAAAAAGTAAGTTTTGGTATAAAAACCTTAGACTGAGTAACTTTTTTATTTTGATCAATTTAATACTTTTCTCGAAATAATCTTGCAGTTTAGTTTTTATCTTAAGCCCTGAGCTGCTTTCTCACTTAAAGAGAACTTCAGCAGCAGTTTCTCTTATTATATGAGTGTATTTAAACTTCAGGTAACTTACATGGTTCTTTTTTCTTTAGCTGTACCTAAAAACAAAAGTCAAGTTATACAGTATTGCCATTTACCCAATATTGGAAAAATATATCTCCCTTTTTGTTTCAAATTTATTTTTATTGTTTCTGAAATGGCGTTGATTTAAGGTAGCACAATTATACGTTGCATCTGAAAACACATACTTTACCTGGGTTGGTTATGGTCACGTGAGCATATGTGTTTACTAGTGATCTAAGTGCTCCACCTGCCTTTCAGTTTGTTTACCAGGAAATCAAGATGTGTAAACTGCAGGAAGTACTATTTGACCCTCTCCGACAGTATCTCATTACAATAATTGCTAATCTCTGAATAAGACAGCCATGTTTTGTGAGTAACAGAGAGAGAGGGTTTGTGTTAGATTTTAGATGCTTCCACAAATATAGCACTGTAAATGCTTGCTTGGATTATGTTTCCATGATAGCTTTTGATTACAGACATCTGGTGACCTTTGGGGTCAGCAGACGGGGGCACAATAGTATGTGTTCTTTCATTCTTCTTTAACTGAAAAAATATCCCGGCTTGTTGTTTTGGAGTGCTGTCACTGCTCTGTAGCGAAAGGATAATGGCTACTTCCTGATTAAACCACTATCCACAGTAAGCTCTTAATATTATATCTCTCATCTCCTCTAAAAGGCAAGAGTATTCAGTGCTTTTCTTCTCTGTTTCTTTTCCAAGGGATTTTTTTATCAGTTTTAAATGTTTTCATAAATATGCATTGAAGTAAAAGCCTGTAGTTAAAGGAGTAACTTCTCAGTTATTTTAATTTCCAAAATAATATTTTTTTTGTTAAAGAAAGGAAGTTGCCTAGTCTTTTAATACTTATTTGAAAAATGTTTAAATACAGACTTGACTGACTTGCGTTAGATGTTAAGTATTTTAATATTTTAAAATCTATTTAGCTATTGGTCATATAATCAGTGTTTAACCTGATGGACAACTTAAATAAATATTCAGATAAGAAAACCCCCGAGATATAAACAATGAAAATAAAATAGTCTTCAATAATATTAGGCACTGGTAATTTGTAGTTTTACCATTTTATACTGTCTACAGAACTGTTTTATATTTACCATTAATTGCTCAGCATTGAAATAAAATACAATCTGGAATATTTTGTTAGATTTATTTTGTATATTAGAGATGTAGCTCTCTCTTTCTGTACTTATAAGCGTTTAACTTTAGTTATTTTTTTCCTTGAGCCACTGTACATCTTGAACCTTTTGCTGGGGTGCAAACAGATGCAACTCTTGTCTTTTTGTGTTTCAGTCCACTTTTATATGGCCTTTAATCATTATTTTGAGGCATCATTTAGGCATTTAATACTAAAAAACGATGAGTTCCAAGAGACTGAGGTTCAGATTTAATTTCTGTTATGTAAATCCAAAATAACACCACCAAAGTTGATAGTCATGCTAGTGTAATGGAAACAACATGTGGCACAGAGTACTGTATACCAAGATAAAGTTACTGAGCTCTGTACTAAATTAATATTAATGATTTTTCTCAACTATTTCAGGTAAACATAGTTAGTTACCAAAACAGTCTGTTTCAGCTCCAAAAAGTAAGTGTGAGGATATCATAACAATATTGCGGTCCTGATACAGAGATCTGCCCCCTTCTTGCTCTTTCACCCTGGCATCAACTCTGTGCCAGGCTGTCAGAAATACACACTTTTTAAATGAAATGTATATGTGTCTCTTTTAAAGTGCTGATATGTAATAAGAACTTATAAAGAATTCCATATTAAAATACCCACAAAAGAGGTTTCCAATAACATTATTTGACAAATAATTAATGGAATCCTCTTCTGTAAGCCTGATTATTTTTTTCTGATTTGTGCTTTTTAAATTAAACTGATATTAAGGCTGTCCATGTTGTTAAAAAATAGAAAATCCCTCCTTGAATGGGTGTACTTAGCACTCTTAACCAATTAGGCCAAGGATTCGGTGGGAAAATTTGTTGGCAGTCATTCCACAGTAACTCTTAGAACATGTTGAAAGAACTAGATTGCCATTAGACTGTTAAAATGGTATCCTTTGGTAACGGATACTGAGGCAGTCTGAGTAAGCTTTATGTACAATGCCCATGCATTACCTGGCTTTTTGGAAGACATGTTGTTTAACCCATTAATAAAACAGTAGTGATGATGTTTGTCTACCTTTTCAGAGTTCTGTGAGGTCATCTGAAGTGAAGCCCCATGTAAAGCCAGGTGGCCTTGCTGTTATTTCAGTAAATTTAAAAAACTTTGCCAAAACGATAAACTTACTTTAAAGTAAGTTCTGCTGTTTCTTACGTAGTCATATTTCACTAGTCTAGAAAAAGCTTTGTTAAACATGTGCCTGTTAAGAGCTTTGAATCTGGATAAAAGTTCTAAAGCATGTTTTGTACTTGATGCATATGAATAGTTTGCTTCCTTTCTAATCAGCAGGTGCAGAAAGAAAACTAACAGACCTTTCAAGTGAAGTTTTATCTGCCTTTCACCCTCCTTTTCTGCATATGTAAATAATATTGTAATAAATGTAAGATTTGCATCTGTTTAAGATTGGAAGAATAGTATCATACTCTTCTTTTTATGTGTGTATGTATTAAATACTTTTTGTCCTCAGCAGTGGCAGTAGCTATTGTTGCTTCATATGAATTACCATGTAGTTAGGTATGGATTTGTTTGTTTCAGAAAATGGCAAACCCGATGGGAAGGCAGGAAAAGGGGATTTTTGCAGGTTGATAGATGGAATCTTACAGGCAAGGTCTATAAAAGATTAATTTGAGATTATAAGGGCTTGGGGACAAGAACCATCTCTTTGCTATGTGTTTGCACATTACCTGTTCCATTCGGGTCCTGGCCCATGACAGGGGCTCCTTTGCACTATCTCCAAACAAATAATAAAAGAAGATCTTGTCATTTATTTTCCTCTCAGATTTTCCAGTGAAACAGCCCTTCAGTATCCTTATATGAAGAGACTCAGAACTCTGGGCTCCATGCACACAAGCTGGACCGAGCAGTTTGTGTTGTGAACTAGGTGGGTGGTGGAAATATGCCCGCCCACAACTTTTGGATAGTTGGTAGGACAGTTTTATTCACTTTTTGTTAGGCAGTGGTTTTCAACCTTTTCAGATTCAAGCTACCCCTTGTTAGACTCAAGGCAACCGTCAGAAAATGGCAGCTGCTTGTTTTCACTGTTTTGTTTTGTTTTGGGGTTTTTTTGTTTTCCTACAAAAATAATAGAGCAATCATTTTGTTGGAAAGAATTCAGAAACTGCAGCAGGTTACAATATTTTTGATACTATGGATTCCTATTTGAAAACTCTGGGTTTATCTTGGGAATTATATACGTTTTTGCACACCTAACAGTGCTAATATTATACAGCACCCTGTGGCACCCTTACAAGGATCTCATAGCATGCCAGGGTGCTGCAGCAACCTACAATGGTGCCAGATCCTTTTATGTATGCTGCAAGGTGTGAGGGAGGTAATTGGATAAGTGCAGGCTCTGCTTTGTCCCTGCCTGGCCCTGCTGTGAGGAGGTAAGCACTTGTAAATTGGGTTCCACTCAACTGACAAAAGTTATGGAGGGATGCCTTGTGTCCAATGAAAGGTGCCTTCAGTTCAAAAAAGATTGAGAACCACTGTACTAGACCATGTGATGACTGATTTAGTGGCCACATTGTAACTTACCACCTGTGTACTTCCCCCCCAGTTCAGCTCTCTGGTAAGAAAGTATAAATCCACTGACTCTGTTGGAGTGGCTCTTAATGCCAGTGATGATTTGACTCTTACGAACATTTCAAGTCCTGGTAAAGAAAACATGAAGTACTGAAATCTTGATATGGCAGAATACTGTCTTCCAACGTTGGTCTAGATACACTACCTGATGACTATTCAAATATACATTTACCTAAATCTTCCTACTGAACAAGAGGGGAAGCAGAGAATGAAACTACGCAGGTCATAGAATCATAGAAAATTAGGGTTGGAAGGGACCTCAGGAGGCCATCTAGTCCAACCCCCTGCTCAAAACAGGACCACTCCCCATTAGAGCATCCCAGCCAAAGCTTTGTCTGGCTGAGTTTTAAAAGCCTCCAAAGATGGAGAGTTCACAACCTTTCTGGGTAACCTGCTCCAATATTTCACTACCCTCCTAGTGACAGAGTTCTTCCTAATATCTAACATAAACTTCCCTTGCTGCAACTGGAGACTCTTGCTCCGTGTTTTGTCATCTCTGAGAACAGTCTAGCTCCATCTTCCTTCAAACCCGACTTCAGGTAGTTGGAGGCTGCCATTAAATCCCCTCTCAGTCTTCTCTTCTCTAGACTAAATAAGCCCAGTTCCCTCAGCCTCTTCTCAGAAGTCACATGCCCCAGGCCCCTCACCATTTTCATTGCTCTCGGCTAGACTCTGTTCAATTTGTCCACATCTTTTCTGTAGTGGGGGGCTCAAAACTGAACACAGTACGCCAGATGTGGCCTCACCAGTGCTGAATAGAGGGGAAGAATCAACTTCCCTTGACCTGCTGGCAACACTCCTACCAATGCAACCCAGTATGCCATTAGCCTTCTTGGTAACAAGGGCACACTGCTGGCTCATACTTAGCTTATTGTCCACTGTAAATCCCCGGTCCTTTCCAGCAGGACAAATTATGCTGAGGGGAAACCAGCACGGGTTTGTAGCAGGCAGATCATGCCTGACTAATCTAGTTTTTTTTTTTTATGACCAGGTTACGAAACGCCTGGACACAGGAGTAGGGGTGGATGTCATATACTTAGACTTCAGGAAGGCCTTCGATACGGTATCCCACCCCATACTGGTGAACAAGTTAAGAGGCTGTGACT